TCCCCCCACCCCCCCCCCCCCCCCACCACGTGCTGCTCTCCTTCTCCTCTCTGATTCTTTCTTCTGGTTCTGTCTTACTAGAGAGAAACTCTCAGGGCTCGCTGCACAGTACCTGTTCTCCAGGACCTTGGTGTTGATTCAGGGTGGATTTAACTACCTAAGGAGATTCAAAGCCCCAAGGATGCTTGCCTTCCTCAGCTCTGAAACATGACTTAACCCCACCTAAGATCAGCTATCATTTATTCAAAAGAGGAAATGATGACTCCCAGAGTTCAAGTGCCTTGCTCAAGGTCACCCAACTTAAAAGTGGCCACAGCAGTAAATATCTGTCTGGGGACGTGGAGACACCTTTTTATCAACAAGGGTGCCTGAACGAAGCATATTTGTATACCTAACCCTTAACTGTACCCCACAATATCATAATAAAAAATATCGATTATAAAAAAAAAAAAGTGGCCACAGCAGGAGTTACTTGCAGGTCTTCAGGACCCCGGGGCCGCTCTCTGACACTGCCATCATGACTGAGGTAGGCAAGCCTAGCTCCTGCTTGGAGCAGCGCGTTATTCTTTTAGAGAAGTGCACTATTCTTTTAGGTCTCTAAGTCTGTCTGCTCATTTGTCCGCTTGGCTCCTGTCCTAAATTTGGGGATGGGAGGGAGACAAACACCACTCTGGCCTTCTGGAAGTGTGCTGGCCACCGTTGAGGACCCCTAGCTATTGGGGTCACCACGGCTTGAGCCCAGCGGCACCACTCCCGCGCAGCCCCCCACCGTGACGCGCCTAAGTCAGAACTAGACGCTCAGGTGCCGCAAACCTGGAGGCCGCTTGGCCGGCCGCCAAGGCTGTGCCAGCATTCGCGGACTTTCTGCAGAGTAGCGCTCTCAGCTCGTGTCTTCTGTCTGCCGTTCTCCTATGCCCCCAGAGCACCCACCAACCCAAGCAGGCCATGTACTCCCGGCCGCGCCCTTCCAGCTGCTGGAGGCTCCTGGAGTCGGACGCGTCTCCTGCTGGTCGCCTGCAGCTAGCCCCAGCGCTAGTTCTGGTGTTGGGGAAGCGAGAAGTAAGGAAGGGGACAGGCGGAGCGTCTCCCCCAACCAGAGCGGAGCCGGCAAGCGCATCTTCTCTATGAGTCCCTCTGCCCAGCAAGCGCTGCCCAACTTCTGCGCCCGCTGGACCCGCTGCTCCCGCTGCTCCAAGACGCTCCCGGCACAGAAGAACCAGCACGCTCAGAAAACCGCACTCACCACCTTCAGGAGGCTCCCGGGAGAAGGCGAGGAACCGGGGCGGGGGTCCCAGGGTTCACGGTCTGGGGAGGGAGGGGTTTGGACTTAGTGAATACTCCTCTACACCTGCTTCCCTTCGCACAGCAGCCGTCGCCCCCAAGAGGGAGAGCTTTTGGCGTCCTAGAAGACCCCGTGGACCGCGCGCCTCGGGGTACCGGCCTCTCTTGGGAGGGCTGGGGGCTGTGCTAGTTAGAGACTGGCAGGGGGGACCTGTTTGCTGGCCCGCTTGGAGGTGGGATGGGGTGGGGTTTGGAGACAAGGAAGCCCGAGAGAAGATATTAAGTTCCCCCCTCCACTGGGAATAGGAACCAAGTGGCGAGGGGAAAATAAGGCAGCGTGTAAACAAAAACAACCTCAAAAAGAAGCCAAGAAAAGCGAAGCCAAAAGAAGCAAGCGCAACACTGTTACAAAACTGTCTGGTTTTGTAACAATTTCCCCGCCGCCGGCCAATGAGCAGTGTGGCGGTGCGTCACGTGGTGCCGTTTTATATAACACTTTGCTGAGACAAGACAGTTATTAGGCGGCGCGGGGCGGCCGGCATGGAGCTCCCGGAGGCGCGGCAGGGACCAGCGCTCGGCGGCACAGCGGCCGTGGCAGCCCCGATTTCCTCCAGCCGCCACTCCTTGCTTCGTGTCCCCGGTCCCTAGACGCCTCTTCCCTGCGTCTATGGATTCAGTACAGACCGAACAGATGCTGAGGTTGCCTACAGAGGTAGGCAGCAACAACTTAGAGCTGACAGAGCCGGCGGAGCCGGTGGCATCAGCGGCCCGTGTAAACACGAGTTCCCACCCGGAGGAGGCTACAGAGGGCTCCGCACCTCTACCGTCGCGGGGGCCCGAGCAAGAGCGGCCTCCGAGGACCCCAACGCCGGAGTGCAAAGTCCTGCTCACACAAGCCGACGCCTTGGCATCCGGGGGACGCCTCCGGGAAGCCCTCGAGGTGTACAGACAGCTCTCAGAACGGCAGCAGCTGGTGGCCGAGCAGCTGGAGCAGCTGGTGCGCTGCCTGGCAGAGAACGTCCCGCAAGGCGAGACACTCGGGCCGGCGCCCCCGGACGGGAGCAGCGCTGAAAGCCGCGCGGTGGCGGCAGAAGAGACAGGAGCGGCAGCGGCCGCGGCGGCCACCGAGGTGTGGGACGGCTTTAAGTGCCGGAAGTGTCATGGATTTCTATCAGATCCTGTGTCCTTGTCGTGCGGCCACACCTTTTGTAAACTGTGCCTGGAACGTGGGCGGGCAGCCGACCGGCGCTGTGCGCTGTGCGGGGTCAAGCTTTCCGCGCTGATGGTGGCCACGGGGAGGGCGCGCGGGACGCGGCGGGCTGGGCAGCAGGCGCCGCCGCCGCTGCGGGTCAACGTGGTGCTCAGCGGCCTCCTCGGCAAGTTGTTCCCGGGCCCGGCGAGGGCGTCGCAACTCCGGCACGAGGGCAACCGGCTGTACCGAGAGCGCCAGGTGGAGGCGGCGCTGCTCAAGTACAACGAGGCGGTTAGGCTGGGTGAGCCCCCCACGTCGTCGGGGGCGGGAGAGGGGACCTGGCAGGGAGATGGGGCAAAGGAGGGTGCGGGGACCGGTGGCCCGTGGCCGATGTGAGTGGGCGGACTTCAGGGGCTCGGTCTCTGACTTTATCTTCACCGCAGTAGCTGCCTTTCTCTGTTTCTGTCTTTCTGTTGCTTTTTGTCTTTTTCTGCGACTCTTGTTAGCTTTTGTGTTCCTGTGCCTCCCGTCTCTGTTTCTGTCTGTGTCACCCTGTTTGTCTCTTTTTCTCCGTCGTTTCACATCGTTGTCACTCTGTTTCTATCTTGCTCGATGTCACCGTCTCAGTTGATCCCTCTGTTGCTCCTTGTCCCTTGCCCGCTGCACGCCTGGACACCCTCGCGCTCCTGCCCGCACCTTCCCGACCAGGAGCGGAACTTCACACCCTTCCCACACTCGCGCCGGCTCCTCCGGGCTCTCGCCAGCAGGAGATGTCCGGTCGGCGCCTGCGTCTGCTGCTCCCGCCGCCGGGAGTTGTCCCTTCCGGGGCCGCGGCTCCCTGTGGGGTAGGTCCGGCGTGGAATTAGGTCAGGAGAGCACTGGTTGCATAAGGGCCGCGAGCGGCCCGGGCCGGGCGGCCCCTCCTCCGCGCGGGCGGGCGGGATTGTGTAACGGCTGAGGTAACCGAAGTGGGCCACGCTCGCCTCGGAAACCATCCCGCGAGCGTGTGCGGGGGGAGGGGAGCGCTCGCACCCCGCTGCCCTGTGACTCATTGTCACCGCTTCCTATCACACGATCCTCGGCTGAAATAGATGCCCCCCTCCGCCGTCGCCGCCGCCTGCCCGCAGCCTGTGCCCTCGTCTCAAACCTGTGAACCCCACCAGGCCGGGACAACTGCTTGGGGATCCCCGGGGATTGCGGGCTGCCTACGAATGGGGCACGCCTCTGTCCTGCTTTCCAGTGCTGCTTGGGAAGGAGGGTTGGGTGGGCTTTGCAGCTTTAAGGGCAATGTGGGCAGCCCCACACCTCCGGCTGAACTAGGCTCCCCGAGTTCTCTCGGGCGGGGAGCCGCTCTCCCCGACTCTCCACTCCTGGACCCAGGAAGTGGCCGCAAAGCCGCCAGCCCGTATTGCCCAGCTCGGGCAGGCTGCCAGGAGCGCAGCCGGCTGGGCGCGGTGTCTGGCGAGGCATGCCAGGGAGGAAGCAGCAGGGCTGGGCCGTCAGGGCTCTGGGATCCGAGGGTGCCCTGGGTCCAAGTCTGCTGGGTGAAGGAGGGGGTGGGCCAGAGTTTCCACTTGTTGAATCTCCACCCAAGCGTGCAACAGGTAATGGGGGAGGAGGAGGAAGGAATGAGGGCTTTCTGGGCAAAGATGGCAGCTGAGGGAGAGGGGGACTCCCTCCTGTGCCCCCCCAACCCCTGTCTGTCCCAGGCAAGCTGCCACCAGGCTGGCGTGTGCTGCAGAAAAAAGATGGGAAACTCTTTGCTAATGTCTTAAGAGCAAGTAGTGGATACCCAAGCAAGCCCTCAGCACACTCCTGGGAGGAAAAAACACCCATCAAAGCCCAGACTTTGAAGAAGAATACAGCAATATGAACGGGATAGGTGGAGGCCACTTACGTCCAAATCTCCAAAGGAGGATTCATTCCTGTCAGGTTTCATTATTGCCAGGACAGCCCCTTCCCATTCCCTCCTCCTTTACTGCTGCCACTACCCTGGAGGTTCTTCCTTGCACCTTTGCTAATTCTCTGGGAGCAATCAGGGTGAAAATGTCAAGAAGACCAGCTTCGCCCTTTTAAGAGGAAAGGAGCCTTCCCAACAAAGAATATCTGTGTTCTGGAAGATGGCCAGTGTACCTTATTATTCCAAGTACTGTACCCACCTTCAGAAAAAGAAAACTGCCCCTCATCCCAGCTTCAGAGCTTCAGAGTCTGACCAGTTATCAGTGGTTCCAACCAGCAAATGCTGTGACCTTGAGTAGACACCTTCCCTTCTCTGGGGTTGATTTTCCCCATCTGAAGAATAGATTGGTCAAGCCAGATGATCTTAAAGGCCTGTCCAGCTCTGGCATCTAGTGATTCAGAGTGCTGGTGAGAGCCAGCCTCACTTTATTCCCAGAAACCTTGTTTAGGTTCTGTAATGACATGATGGGACCTTGTAAATGTATTTTCATTTTCTTCACGGAAGCTTCTTATGTACTGGGCTTTGTCGACAGACATGTTGCTAATATGACCAAGTCCCTTCCATCTAGAAGACTAACTTGGATTTCTCTTCCTGGTGGTCCAGAAAGGGATAACTTCTGGCCTCCTCTCTTTCCTTCCTCCCTGGTCTTTTTCCTTGTTGGTGACACCTCACTCAGAAACCAGGCTGCTAGGCATTAGTCATGTGTAGCCATGAAGCAGGGTGGCAGGGTATCTTTGGTGTCAAAGTCTCTGATGCACCATTGGCACCACAGGGCCTCTAACAAACTGCCTGAGAGAGGGAGACAAAATGACTTCTTGGCAATTGGGGAAGCTCAGACCGAGAGTGGCTGGGGGTGCGGAAGGTAGGGCAATATTAGGACTGGAAATGGAACCTAACCCTTTGAATCCCCAGTAGAAAACTCCTAACTAACTTGTCATTTGCTCAAGGTCCATCCTCATTGAGGACTATCATGTGCTTATCCTGGGGGCCATTAATAAGAGTTTTATTTTCTTTTTTCCCTCGTTTTGGCAGCTCCAAATGATCACTTGCTTTATAGCAACCGGTCTCAAATTTATTTCACCTTGGAGTCTCATGAGGATGCACTGCATGATGCAGAAATAGCATGTAAGCTCCGCCCAATGGGTTTTAAGGTGAGTGTGTGATGGGAGAGATGGGAAGGGACTGGACTGTAGACAAAAATTGGCAAGAAGGGCTGCAAGGTTGCTTCTCAGGGGATGGAGGGTAGGGGTACTAGAACTCAAGTAGAACAGGAATAAGTCTTGGCAAAGGAGCTAGGGCTATGTTAGCGAAAGGTGACTCAGGTTTGCAAGGGAACTGGATTCTTCCCCAATTCAGTCTTTAACAGACGACCTGCAGAGCATCCTGGGTTTCGTGACTCTCCAGAATATAGACTTGAGAGCCAGACTGCCTGGATTTATGTCCCAGTTCTGCTACTTTTACTTTGTGATCTTGGAAGAATTATTTGCCTTTCCAGTGCCTCATTTCTTCATCTGTAAAATGGAGCTATTCAAAGCACCTACTTAATAGAGTTGCTATGAGGATTACAAGGGCCAATATATGTAAGGTGCTTCGAACAGTGCCTAAAACACAGGATTGCATAAATGTTTTCTATCACTACCACCACCACCACCACCACCACCGCCATCATCACTTTCCAAGGACATTAGAAGGGGAAAGATGGGAGAAGTTTTGCTGACCTGGCCCTCTTGAACTTCTACTGATAGCCAGGCTCCTTGGGAACTTAGCCAGCTTTCTTTGACAAGATCCTCACACTCACACCATAGTTGTGCCATTTCAAGTCCTTAATATAGTCAGTTGGCCTGTGGGTATTCCCCGAACATTTAGGTCACATGGGGAGGGGTGGGAGAGAAAGACAGCCTAGACATCTCCCAGGATGTCAGGATGCAAAGTGTTACTTTCTGCATCTCTGACTGGGCTCAGGACTGCCCCTAAACCACATGCCAATATTTTGTGTGGAAGATTAGGCTTGAGTCTGTGCCCTAATACTTGTAAATTAAGTGACCATGGGGACTTCCCATGGCTTCACTCTCTGAACCCTCAGTGTTCTTGTTTGCAAAGCAAAGCTTTTGTTATCTGCCCTCATTGCTTCATAGGGATGCAGTGAGGGTTAAAAGTGAACAAGGCTTAGAGGACATTCTGCAAGCTATAAAACTTGCTGGGTCTTGGTGAAGAGCTCTCGTTACACAACCCAAGGCTACCTTTCTTGGAAAACCAACTTATCCAAGTTCAGGTCCACAAACCCTTATCTGAATCCCACAGGACCAGATGTATTCAGAATCCAGAGTGTTTTAGATTTTAGAAAGACCCTAAATTATTAATACCCTCAGTAAGCTCTGGACAGCCCCCCATAATTAAACACTCAATTTCTGCAGCAAATTACATGAAAAGTCATACTAAGCGGGACAACTATTTTAAAACACTTTACATCAACTTAAGTCAGATTTTTCCACTTAATGAATTTTGATGCCAAGTTTATGAAAATATTGGATTATAAGAATTTTTTAAAATTTTTATTCTATTACAGAGATGTGGAATACAAGTAAGGATTAACTACACAAGTAGGCTTCATGCAGGCGAAGTTTGGGCCTCCTGCTGGCCCTCACTTCTCCTGGTTTGAGACCAGGTACCCTTTGTGTTGGTACATGCCCCCTGCTTCTTCCCCTGCCTGTGCCCAGTGACTGTTGCTCCTTCCTTTGTGCAATGTGATTAATATTCAGGTCCCACTTAGAATTATCAAAATTTGAGGGTATTTGGGAGCTTCAGATACAGCATTGTGGACTTATACACTCTGTTGTTCGTGTCAGGTGAATCTTATATGTTCTTTCATGAGAAGGTTTTCATGAGTGATGATGGATTAGTATGTTCTCTTGCCCAGGGAGCATATTCAGAGTTTAATACAAGTCATCACTATCTTAACTCAAAGGAACTTCAGAGGGGGCATTTCAGGCCTTGTAGCAGTGATAGTTATGGAGCTGCCTGGGGGTAAGAGGCTTTCTCTTGCAACTCTTTCTACTCTCAAGCCAAGCCTAGGGCCTAGGGCTAAGGGCCTTGATAGCATGATGGGAAGCATGACTGGAAAGCAGTGGAACATTTTGGATGAAATGGAGAAAGTGATTCCCCAGTAAAGGAAGAGTTGCTGGAAGTATTAAACAGGAGTTTTACTTCTCCATAGTGTTGGGTTAAGTGGTGGGGGCAGCGATGAGAGAACTCTATTGTCTTGGGGGCTGGCTAAGAGAATGCTTGAACTGATGATGCATATACTTCAAAACTATCTCACACTCAATTTGCATATTTCCCACCATTTTTGTGCAAAATGCCCCAAGGGAGGAGGTTTACCTGGCAGCTGTATTCCAGCTAGCCAGCCAGGGCTCAGTGGTACTCAGCATACCCTGCAGGTGATACCACTCTTGGTGGGATAAGCTGACTGACTGCCCTGAGCAGGTAGAATTTATGGTTTGTGACCTGGTATGATTAGTAGGGTCCCAGAGGCCTCTCCAGTCTCCCAACATTTATCCCCTCTAGCTGCTTTGGGATGTCATGCAAACCTTTCTTCAGAAGGTCCCTGGTAAACACTGTTGGGAGGAGCAACAAGGGAGGACACTAGCATTCATACATCAGCTCCAGAAGGAGGTAGGGACATATGTCAACTCCAGAAGGAGGTGGGGACATGGAGAGAGGTGCCCAGAGGTTTGGGACTGGGACCACTGCTTAAGAAGGCAGCCTCTGGCTAGCCCTTGTAGCCGGGCCACAGCCTGAGGGCTCTGGGACCTGCATAGGCATGTTAGAAGGGGAGGCAGGGATCCTTCCAGCAGCTGCAACCCAAATCATTCCATTTACTAAATTAGACTTAGGGTCAATGAGGAGGAAAGGGAGTAGGGAGTAGGCCACGGAGGGACAGTCTAGATGACTCAAGTGAAGTGCCCTCCAAGCCAAGTTGCAAGTGGTTAACTCATCCCAAGGCACACAGAGAAGGCAACCCTCTCCCGTCCTCCTTTCTTCTTCATCCCTCTTCCCCAGGATGCTCATCTGCTATCCTTAGAATGTCTCTCCCAGGGCAGCTGGGCTGGACCTTGAGAAGCTGGAAACTTCTTTATATATTATTATTGTTATTATTTACTTTTTAGAGAGGTGGTGAGGGAGTAGAAGTGAGCTGAGCCCCCATGAGCAAAATCATTTGCTCAACCCCTGTTTAGCTATCTGAAAGGCAGTCTGCTTTGCGGGGAAGAAGATTCTGGAAGTCCTAGCACCACAGTTCTAGGTCCAGCTTTGCCACTAACTACCTTTGTCCCTTCTCTTGGGCCTCTTCTGAAAAATGATTAGTAAGTTTAGGTGTTCACTCAAGCTACTACTGAGGACTAGGCCTGCATGACAGACTAGTTCAAAGGAAAGCATAGCTGGAAAGACCCTGAAAGCTGGTTAGCATGTGGTTAGATGGGGGTTCTTGTGACACTTGGTGGTACCTCCATTCGACGATGGGGCAGAAAGGAGGTAGCATGGCACAGTGCCAATGGGCTTTGGCAGCACTTTGGAGCACTGATGTGGGAGGATTGCTTGAGCCCAAGAGTTTGAGATCAGCCTGGGAAACATAGTGAGACCTCATCTCTCCAAAAATATATATATTTTTAAAAAATCAACCAGTTGTGGTGATGTGCTTGTAATTCCAGATATTTGGGAGGCTGAGATGGAAAGGTCACCTGAATACAGGAGGTTGAGGCTGTGGTGAGCTGTGATCACGCCACTGCACTCCAGCCTGGGTGACAGAGAGAGACCCAAACTCAAAAACAAACAAAAAAGAATATGGGCTTTGGTATCAGTCAGTCCCAGGTTCAAACCCTCATTCCCCAGTTTATCAGCTGTGTTAATTTGGGCAAGCTACTTTTTTGGGTCTCAATTTTGTCTTCTTAAAAATGGGATTCAAAACAGTTGGCTATGTTTTAGGGCTGTAGATAAGTCATTTGAAAACATCTTGCACAATAGTGAGTGTTCAGTCAGTGTTTAGTGAATGTTATGAACAGTAGCAGTACTAACAAGGTGAATAAAATGGGACTGAATGTTCATATTTTCTTCCAGGCACACTTCAGAAAAGCCCAAGCCTTAGCCACCCTGGGTAAGGTGGAAGAAGCACTAAGGGAGTTTCTCTATTGTGTGTCGCTCGATGGGAAGAACAAGAGAGCAAGATCTGAAGCCCAGAGGGTGAGTTGAAATGACATCAGGTCCAGCCACCTAATGGTTCTGCACTAATGTGTCTTCTCTAGGGAGGGGAGTAAGGATACTGCCCTCCCTGGCATTTGAGGTCTTGAGTGAGTGGTTCCCTGGGTTAAGGGGACAAGAGGGAGACACAAGTGCTAATTGATTGCTCAGAAACACCATCCTCCTGATGTGTACAATCAGATTGGGCAGTTCCCATTTTTTGTAGGAGCCTGTGAGGAATGTTCTTGCTTCTTTGACTCAGGGTCTGGATTGTCAGTGGGATGAAAACCAAAACCATGTAAGTTAACATAAGGATTGAGGATCATGGAGGAGATTCTGACTGTTGATGACTGATCTGGAGTGTGGGGCTGCCTGCAGTTACGTAACTTTTCTTTGGCTGAATCAGTTTCACCAGCCATCCAGGACAGCCAGCTCCTGGGAAGGGACGTTGGTACACAGAACTCCAATCTTCAGCTCCTTCTCGAAATAAAACACAGTCTCACAAATGCCAGTCAGAGACCATTACAATGTAATCCAGTCATTCCAACTCTTAGGTCCCAGTAGAATGCAGTTCCAAAGGAAAAAAAATGGTGAAACACTGAGAGCATGAGCAAAGGTTCGAGCGTCCTCAATTCACAGACGTTGTTGCTTATTGTTTTGCAATTTACTCTCCTGGTGTCTAGCTAATTGACCTAGAAGTTGAATGGTGACAATCGGTGGTTGCTCTACCCTCCTTGTGCCCTGGCCCCATTCACTTCTGGGCCCCAATGTGGTTTGGCAGAGCAGTGGACAAAAGTGAGCAAGAGACAGAACTAGTTTCTGAAGGCTCTAGAAGGGAATCTTTAACAAAATCAATGAGCTAGGAAAATCTAGGCTCTGGATTTTCTGGCTCTCACAGATTTTCTTTCTAGGAAATTGCTTTGAATTGGTTTGGGTATGTAGAGGGGAGCACAGGGCATGAAGAATTGCTTCAAGTTGTGGATACTTCCCCAAATCCCAAGTGTAGTCTGTGGTGTGAATAGTAATAATAGCTAACATTCGTTGAGCATTTCCTCTGCCACAGGCACTGTGCTAGGTACTTTATGTGGAAGATATACTTTAAATCCTACAGCATTCCTTTTAGGGTAAGTATGGTTTATTCCCACGTGACAGATGGGGCAAATGAAGCTGAAGCTTGCTGGCTTTCCTAAGGTCATGCGGCTAGGGGTGGTTGGAAAGCTTCAAACCCAACTTTGCTGCCAAAGCCTGGCTTCTTAGCTGCTCCACCATCATGCTGTCCCAGAAGGATATGTCCAGAGTCTCAGCACTCACTGGTGAGGCTGGGTCAAAAGTAGCAATAAAACTACCCAATTCTGAGATGGACAAAGGCAGTTAGAAGAACCTTGACTCTGGAGACAGAGTGTTCAAAGACCAACAGAGACAGGTCTCTCAGGCCCAAGGATAGACATTGTTTGAAAAACAAGGTTTCTCTCTGTCACTCAGGCTGGAGTGCCATGGTGTGATCATAGTTCACTGCAGCCTCGAACTCCTGGGCTCAAGTGATCCTCTTGCCTCAGCCTTCCAAAGTGCGAACCGCTGAACCCGGCTGGATTTTTTTTTTAACTCCTATTTGTTCATTCCCTAGTTAGCCTGAGAAGTTCCGGTATCATCAGTTGGGCTGACCTCTCTCTCCAGTCTGCTTTTACAGACCAGCTGGTGTCATTTCCACACCTGCCTAATGGGATGAGGCAAGGTGTGCAAAGCTCTGGAGATCTCATAAGCCACAGTCTGTTTTCAAGGAAGTTATGATCTTGCATTTGTTAATATGAATGCCAGAAAATACAAGTGAGCGTATGCCCGTGTTGAGTGTTATGGAGTTCTGAAGCAAGTGCAAGAATTTAGAGGGGGAATTTCTACTGAGTGGGTGAGGTCATGGCAGCCATTTAAGAACACTGAGGGTCCTGTACTTATTTACTGGCTCATTCCAGTTTCAGGGCTAAAGATTGGGTAGAGATGGTCCAGGTTCACTTGGCATCAGTAAGCTTCCTTAGCACTCACAGATCTGTGTTTCTTTGTAATGTTTGTTTTTACTTCAGATTCTTTTTTTGCTTCTTGATCTATTGTGCTTTTCCAAGGCTGACAATGAAATTGACTTTCATTCATGTGGAATAATCATTCTCACTGAGAGTTGACCCCAACTTTTGTTTTACAAAGCTATTGAGAAGGCCTAAAGAGAGATCTTAGGCAGTGAAGCAAAGTAGGGAAGTGCTGCTGTTATTTCTGCCTTGTTTCCTATGACTTTCCCCCTCAGCCTTCTTTTCCTTCCTGCCACCCTCCATCCTTTCATCCTTGTACCTTGGGATGCTGTGTGACTGCCACATGCTCTTTTTGGGAGAATTCTGGGGAGACTGCCTCAGAACTGGTTTGGTCCTGTTGGGCCACTCAGCAGGGCTTCTGAGGGCCAACTTTGGCTCCCGTGGAGGAGGCAACTCTGAAATCTGGCATGCATGGCCCTGAGCATTGTGAATACTTCCCCATCTCACCCCTTTGACAACACCTACCTGGGAGGTGGGTTCCCCAGAGCTGGAGGGCAACATAGAGATCTGTCTGAGGACTTTGGACCTGAATGCTAGGCCTCTCTCTGAGCTCTGGGATGGATAAGTGTCTTCATTTAATTCCATCCCATGTGATGAGTATTTATTGGGCATCTGTTATGTGCCCTTCAGAAGCCCACCATCTGCCTGAAAAAAAAAAAGACATACATCTGTGACATAATTCCAGGATAATGTAAGATGGTATCATCTAAGATGCTAAATGATGATGCAGTAGAGAACATGACAGGACAGGAGAGATCAGGGAAACTGGAGTAGGAAGGGAAGGTAGCACTTGAACTGAGCTTTGAAGGCTGAGCAGGACTAGGGCATGGCAAGTGCTAGTATCTGAAGGAGCATCATGAAGAAATTACTGGGAGCCAGCAAGAGAATAAAGTCGACTAGAGTTTGGTGTTCTGTTGTATTCCTTTTATCAATTTATGCTCTAACTGTACACCCTGAACAGGGGGGTGGAGCATTCTTTAGTGGGCCTCCAAACACTGCAGGGGTTACTGGAGGGTAAACACTTGAGCATGTTTCCGATGCCTAGTGACCTGTCCCCCTTTTGTTCCATGTGACATTATATATATGTATGTCTATGCATACATATTCATAATACCTGCTGGCACAAGGGGAACATGCAGCAAGAATGTGGATAGCTAGTAATGCAGCCTGCACTAGAATGCACATCTTTGATTCCCAGTTCTTTCTGGCTCTTCTCACTCTACCCCCCATCTTATCCCATTGCAAGGGAAACTAGCAAGACACTGGGACCTGCCTGCCCTCAGTATTTGAACTTCACCTGACATTCTCTGGAAAGTGAAGGCCAGAATGGGGGAGGCGGAAGGCTGGGAGAAGAGGGAGGAAGTTTGGGTCCTGCTTTTCCCAACATTTTACTGCTCAGGTTCCCAGCTCTGAAGGGAGTGAAGATCCAGGGGTGATGGTGGGGAGAGAGAGCAAGACAGGTAGACAGAGAAAAGAAACAGCTAGGAACCTAGGAGACATTTGTAGACGTCTACCCACCGAAGTATTATGGACATGACTCCAGGTTCCCCCACTGAACTTTCTCTCCTGACTTCACCTCTCTGTCTCTTTCCTCCTAGATGAGTTTTTAAATCCCACTGCAGATATTTCTATGGAATGATAGCCCCAGAGTGGTGGCTCATAACCTTGGTTAGGTAACAGAAGCATCTGTAGTGCCTTTTCAAAATCCAGGTTCCCAGGTCACATTTTAGACCTGGGGGAGATGGGAGCGGGAACTAGGAACCTGGATTATTCATAAGCTCCAGGTGATTCTGATGCAGGTTGGAGCAAGGATCTCCTGCCCTGATATATCAGGGGACACTGGTCCAAGGCTTCCTTCCTGGAGTTTTGCCCTCAAAGCTGTGCCCCTGTCCCCGCCTGCTCCTCCCCCTTCACCTGAGCATCTGTAGAGACTTATGTAGTGAAGTCTTCTGTTTTATGTCACAGCTTCTCCTTAGTTTCTTTTCACCATCAGTCCCGGGGCATTCTCAGGAACATTCTCCTGATATCCTGAAGCTGTTGGCACCTCACCCTAGATTAAAGGAACATGTAGAGTCAATGACTACTGAAGGCACCAGCCATAATCTACCAAAGTCGTCACAGGTAAAACTCAACTCACCCAGCTTGCTCGTGACGCTTCGTTTGGCTGTTTTGTGGGCAAACATGGGGAGTGAGCCCCACCTCTCCTACTTTAGTTCTTGATAAAGAATAAACGGAGCCATTGGTGGTTGTGTGCTTTGCTAAGAAGGTTACTTCTTAAAGATATAACTGTGAATTTCACGCATGGTCCTAGAGTTTGCTTATTTACTTATCTAATTTATCTTTTTTAGACACAGGGTCTCACTGTGTTGCCCAGGCTGGAGTGCAATGGCGTGATCACAGTTCACTGTAACCTCGAACTTCTAGGCTTAAGCAATCCTCCCACATCAGCCTCCTGAGAAGCTGGCACTGCAGGTGCATACCACCATGCCCTGCTAATTTTGATTTTTTTTTAGAGACAGTGGATATCTCACTACGTTGCCCAGGCTGGTCTCAAACTTCTGGCCTTAAGCGATTGTCCCACCTCAGCCTCCCAAAGTGCTAGGACACATTTATTTTTTAGTTACTGGTAAGATCCAGTCAAGATAGAGAGAGATTTGATAGAACTAGAAAGGAATTGGCCCACTGCCCCTGAACGATAGAATTGGGATGGGTTTATAGGTTTCAGGGTTGAGCCTGGGAAGAGGGCCTGACAACCTTCCCTTTCTGGCTTTTTTTTTTTTTTTTTTTTTAGTTGGAGTCTCACTCTGTCGCCCCGACTGGAGTGCAGTGGCCGCTCCCGGCCACCGCAGCCTCGACCTGCTGGGCTCCGGCGATCCTTCCGCCTCAGCCTTCCAAGTAGCCAGAATTACAGGCACGCGCTACCACGCCCGGCTGATTTTTTGATTTATTGTAGAGATGAGGTCTCGCTGCCCAGGCGGGTCTCGAACCCGCGGGCTCAGGCAATCCACTCACCTCAGCCTCCCAAAGGCGTGAGATTACAGGCTGAGCCACCGAGCCCGGCTCCTTTCTGGCTTTTTGTTTGTTCAAGCTGCTGGCCTTTGAGTGCCAGCAGAGATCTTTGTACAAAGACAATGTCATTTGATTCCCAAGTGGAGGTAATTTCATATCCCTGCACTATGTCTTACACATAGATAGACTTCCAAATCATATTTGTATCAGAGAAGACAATGTTGGAAAGAACGTTGAGTAAGAGGAAGACAGATATTTATGCAGAAAGAACGTTGAGTTAAGAGGAAGACAGATATTTATACAGAACACAGAGAGATGGGCTTCAAGCCCTGGCTTTGCTAGCAGAGGGTAAGTGGGCAGAAGCTGGGGCTCAGAAGTTCAGCCTGGAAGGCAGAGTACCTGATGTTTTTCCCCTGTATATGAGAAGAGCCCCAAACTGGTATTATTATTATTTTTTTGTTTTTGTAGAGTGGACCCCTTGTAGTACACTCAGAATTTGTTCCTCCAGATCAAATGGTCAAGCAGGGAAGTTATAAGAAGGTTTTGTTGTGATTTGCGGGAGTAATGTCCTGAGTTGTGGCAAACAGGTGACTGGTTCTTCCACCATGACAACGCACCTGTCCACACTGTGCTGAGTGTTCAACAGTTTTTGATTAGAAACGACATGATGCCTGTGCCCTACACTCCCTATTCACCCAATCTCACCCTGAGCGACTTTTTGTTGTTGTTGTTTCTCTGGATGACCAAAGTCTTCCAAGGGAAATGTTTGTCCAATGTGGAGGTGAAACAAAAACCGGCAGAAGCACTAAAAGGCATCAAAATTGATGAGTTCAAAAACTATTTTGAGCAGTGGAAAAAGCATCTTGATAGGTGTATTGCATCAAACAGAGAGTACTTGAAAGGTGACTAAACATGTAAAAATAAATACACAATTTTTAACAAATAAATTCTGTTTTTGGGGGGTTCCCCTCTTGTATAAGCCCTGGACTCTAACATTTTCCCAGCCTCTCCCCCTACTCTGGAGAAAGAATAAAATGCAGGTGTGCCTGGCTTAAATTTTAAAAGGCAGAATTCTGAGTATCTCTTGAAATTAGAGAACCCTAGTGATTTCAATAATTGTTTGAGACTATTACGTGACTGAGAATGCTAATACTGAGCCAAAGTGCCTGGAGTGACTTCTAATTGCAGCTCAATCCAAAATGAAGAAAAATAGCAGTCCTGGCTTTCCAGTGTGAGCCAGCTGGGGAAGAGGGATTGGATTTCCACCCAAACTTTGTTTTGCAAAGCAGTATGTTCCTGTGTGGACAATGCCTTGGGCTCATGGAAAGTCGAGGTTGCAGTATTGCTTTAGTGCTAGAGAAAGCTTGAACTCCCCAGGTTAGAGACTGAGAAAACCTACATCCTTTTCTCCTCATCTCATTGTTTTCTCCTAACTGTATGCTCCCCTTTTCCATCTGTCTACTATTTTTTTTTTGGTAGGGGATGAGAGAGAGAAACAACAAGATGAACATTCTGACCTGTGGACTATGGGTTTAGAGTAGAGAGGGGTTCTCCAGTTTTAATCTGCATAAACACATCATTGGATTTATTGCTAGATCCATTTTCAAATATCTCTCTCCTAGGCAAAAGTTCTTTAAAAAACTACAGACATTATTGATTTTTTTTTGCCAGATGATTTTCTCTCTTTTACAGGCTTTTAAGCCAAAATCTAGTTAAAATATGTGACCAGTGTAACATGTAACTCTGGAGCATGAAGTGACTTAGCAGGTCTGTGAACAGACCTGTGCCAAAACCCTACCAAAAGTCCTTTTGGAGTTAAGATTTGGGGATTTCAAATGACCATGAATGGCCATGAGGGTGAGAAGTATTAAGTGACAGGATCTACCTTCACTGCATGCCTTGGTTCCCCCAAGTGGTTGCTGAGGAATGGTTTGGATAGAAGGGAGAACTGGTGCTATTCTTTGCATTTCCCGCTTTCATCATGGTCCAAGGGGCCTCCCTGCTTACATACCTTTCGGTTTTTGCCTAGGAAAATTCCCTGAGTCCAACCAAGCTGGGCATGCCTTTGTCACAGATTCTGTGTGGACAGGAAGTGAAAAGTTTGCCTTATGACTGCCTACCAGTTGGGTTGTGGGTCCACTGTATGATCAGGTGTGGGGACCAGGGCTATGCATTTTTCTCTTTGTCCCCTCTGGGTAGGAATATCAGAGAACAATATTGGTCCAAGAAGATTCTGATATTTAGCCCTTTCTTCATCCAGGAAAATCCAGAGCTCCCGCATTGTTCTAGTCAGGAGGAAGCAGCTGCCAGGGAAAATGGCAGCAACCTGATGAACCCAGCTAAAGTAAAAGCAGACGGTCAACAAGACAACATGAAAAACCAGGAAGAAGATGAGGAGGAAAAGCAGGGTGCTACTTCTCCAAAAGTTGCCTCCATTAAGACTGGCAAATGCCAAGAAAAGAAGAGGAAACATTGCCAAATTGAATCCCCAGAAGACACAGAGATGCCTAATAAAGCCTCTAAGCAAGGTATTGCCTCTACCCAGAGAGAAAGTAGTTTGGAGGAGATGCCTGGGCTCACCAATATATACAAGTGACTTCCCCTCTGTCTGGTGGCTCCTCAGGCTCTGGGTATGTGACCCAGCTGTGGCACTTACCAACTGTATGACCTCAGGGGTTGCTGGGAGGTTTTTGTGTGATCATACATAGTTTCTAGCATGCTGTAGTGCTCTATAATAATTATAGGGGGAAACCAAGGCAACAGGTCAGGCATAATACCAAGTAATGACATTCCATGTCTATGACGGTGCCACTTCCTTCCAGGCCAACCTTTCACTACCTCTTCCTGGTTGAATCTAAGATGAGGGAAAGTGAGGCATGGCCTGCTCATCCCCAGTTGTGTCCCCATAGGTAGGTAACTGAGAAGCAGCAGCTGCAGCTTGATATCTTTCCAAGAGAGCTTGGCAGTGCCAAGATTCAGTTTTAGCTTTGAAGGCCTGGCTCAGTCCATGGAGTTGCTGCTGTTTCTGCTGTTGAGTGAGGTGCCCGTTGCATTTGAATGAGGTCCCCAGGGCTCTGGGACATTCCCTAACTTGCACTTCTCTTTCTATGGGGGCTGCCGGAAACCTCTGAGAACCTACTTCAGGGCATCTTATTCTCAGTGGCTCAGGTGGCCACTGAATCAACTCTCTGGGAGATGGTGGGAGTGGCAAACTGAAAAACAAATTGGGTTCTTTTGTCACCGTGAAACCAAAGTTTGTCTAGCTCTGACTCATTCCTTTCTACATCACAGATCCTCCTGCTAATCAGGGGTCCAAACCTGCTCTCAGCATCCCACTAGCATCTTTCGACGCATCTGACCTTGAATGCTCCCTGTGTATGAGGTATGTGATACGTACTGTCACTGCCTGATGTTTTCTGCTCTGTAGTGTCTGGACCTGCCTGCCCACAGACTGCACTTCCTGCATTCCTGACTCCTGACTTGGAAATACCTGGAGAGTGGGAAGGGAAAGGTCTACTCAGAGGTCACAAATGGATGGCCCACAGGCTGAATACGTCTTTTGTTTGGGAATGTCTTGAGACAGCACACCCTCTCTCCAGTTGGCCACAGTCCCACTCCCCTCCACTGCCTTATACCAGACCACATCTCACATTTGTATTGCTTTCCTGGTCCCAAGAGGTATTTAAGTTTGTGACCCTGGAACTAATCTCAATTACTGGATCAAGAACTCAAAACTTAAGAGCTACTTTCAATGCTGCAGACTTGTTCTTTGGAAGCTGAGTGGAGAGCCTGACTGGCTCTTGTCTTGTGTTATGCCTGGGCTACTTGGCCAAGCATCTTCCCTCCAACCAATGCCACATCATCTCTGCCTTCTCAGATCTTTGGAGAGGCAAGTTACTCACTTGTCCACTTTTTCCCACAAAACAAAGATGATATGGTCATAGTGTGTTTAACCATATAACATTTTAAAGAATTACTCTCATTTGTTTTATTTCACAGCTGTGATTTAGTGACCGAAAGGAAAGGGTTTGAACCCTGACTTTTTTACTTACTGGCTGTTTGACCTGAAGCAGGTGACACTCTTGGCCACTGTTTTCTCATCAGTAAACTAGAGAACGGTAGTACCTGCCCTATTGAATGGTTATGATTAATTAAGAAAATCTGTCTAACAGAATAGTGTATGGCATATAGTAGGAATTCAATAATTGTTAACTATCTTTTTCCTTGTAGACAAAAGGTAGGTCCATGAACCCCTGAGGAGGTTCTATTTACAGATTCTAGTAGATTTATGAATACCTTGACATTGTATGTAAGTGTGTGTGTGTGTGTGTATGTGTGTGTGTGTGTGTGTGTGTGTGGGTCCATGACAAGATCCAGAGCTTTCAGCAGATTTTCAAATGTGTCTCAAATGTGTTTTCCCAAAGAGCATTAAAAGGAGACTAAGATTGATTTATTTGAGCAGCATCTTGTAGTTCTCATTGTAAGAAAGAAAGAAAGAGAGAGAGAGAGAGAGAGAAAGAAAGGAAGGAAGGAAGGAAGGAAGGAAGGAAGGAAGGAAGGAAGGAAGGAAGGAAGGAAGGAAGGAAGGAAGGAAGGAGACTAAGTGCTGGATGCTGTGGCTCATGCCTATAATCCCAGAACTTTGGGAGGCTGAGGTAGGAGGATTGCTTGAACCCAGATGTTCAAGACCAGCCTGGGCAACATAGCAAGAACTCATCTCTACAATTTTTTTTTAAATAGTCAGGTGTGATGGCATGTGCCTGTGGTCCCAGCTACTCGTTTGAGTAGGAGGTCCCAGAAAGATCGTTTGAGCCCAGGAGATTGGGGCTGCGGTGAACTGTGATTGTGCCACTGCACCTCAGAGGGAGAACCCATCTCAATAAAAATGGAGGCTAACATATTTACACAAAAATTGTTAAGGTGATGGTTGACCCAACAGAAGAGATGTCAGAAGAATATTTTGGTACACCAGGCAGTGGGATCCAGCCAGTAGAGACTCCTCAGGTGTTTTCTTGACCTTAACAAGCACATATGCTTCTCATATGAATTACATGCATTAGTATTCTGAATGACTTTTGTCATATGATTAAAAATAAGTAAGGCAGCCATTGCCTGAAACATGGACTTTTTATTTCTCTTAAAGAATTATAGTTATCAGATTTGCTCATAAACTTGGGCAGATCTGAGAACGAATGGTTCAGCAGATGGTTGAAGAAGCACTCAAAGCAAGCCTTCTGTATACTGTCAGAGTTTGTTTGGGTGGAATGGGCTAGGGTGAGGGACTATATAAGCACTTCCCTTCGTAACTTCCCTTACTCCCTCACAACAGAGTGGCAGGTGTGTCATAGCAAAGGCAAGGTATGAGACAGAGCTCCAAGCAGGGAAATGGACCCCCACAGGTGATGCCACTGTGGCTCTGAGCCCATGATGGGAGCTGTGGAGCAGGCTTGATTTGGCTTGCTCAGAGAGACCAGGTTTTTGTTGTACTTATCTTCTTTAACACCCCCCAACATCCAGGGGACACAAAATCAAACATACAGGCTCAGCCTGTGTGTGTTTTCTCTAAGGTCTAAGGATTCTGAGGTTTAAATTCTTTGGTTTCTCTTTCTCTGCTTTCCCCTTTCATCTTGTTTGTCCCTGATCTCAACAGGGGGCTTTGGAGAAGGGTTCATTTGGTCCAAGAAATAAACACCAAGAGGATAAGATCCCCTTATAGTTGGCTCACAATGAATTTAAAAGCTATTATTTTCCTTATCCCGTTCCCCTCTTCTAAGTGAGATTTTAAAAACGAAAGCCTACCTTTGTCTGCAGTAGCTGTTGCATAGGCTGCTAAGTTATAGCTGGGCTCTCATTGCTTTGTGGTGATAAGAAACCTGCCAAATCTAGAAAGTATTTTTTAAATTTTATTTTAAGGCTCTTAGCCAGCACCCTTTGGCCAGAAGCATGTAGTTTCCTTTCCAACAGGATTTGTCTCTGAGTTAGACATTAGTTGTTGACAGAGGCTATTTCATGCACATGCTTTAGCTTAGAGTATTATAGTCTTGAAAAAGCTCCTGTTTCTAACTCTCTTTAGTGTTTTTATTCTTTTTATTGTTGTTAGGATTGTTATTTGGTTCTCTTATTAACCTTGTGTGTCTTTGGGGGAGAGGGTCTAGGAGTGAAGATAAGTCTCAAATGATCTGCTGGGTCATGAAACTAGACATTTGTACCACTTGTGAAAGTTTCTAGAATAAAATCCAGTCCCATAATGCTGCATCAGTAGAAAGACAAGATAGAGTGTGAATTTATATATTCTGATGCTAGAGAGAAAATGAGGAGCAGGTTCAAAGTACCACAGGAAAAAGGGTGAAAAGAATGAATGTAACCATAATCAGAGGGTGCATGAATCAGGGCCTTTCCAATCTCCAAGTCTCTCTTGCTGAGTGGGGAGAGCTCTGCTGAGGGATGTTACCTCCAAACTTCAGCACTTCAGAACTCTGCACCTCAATCTTTAGTGGCAGAAAATCCTCTTTTGATATTTACCTGGTAAGGACACCCTAGCCATTAGGGGCCACCTCTGGGGCTGCTGTGGAGTGGCACCTTTGGGGTAACAAGGATATTTTGAGATGTGAAGTGGAATGTTTGATACTTGAACCAGTTACCTAATGGCCCAGTGACCTCTTTGTCAATTGAAACAAGAATCTTTATATTTAATTTTGTTTTAGCTACTCAAGTAGCTGGGTGTTGAGTCAGTTCATTCTCTCCTCTCCTCTTCCCTCCCCCACCTTTTCCTGTCCCTCTCCCTCCCTCCCCCTTCTTCTTCTTTCCTCTTTCCTCTCATTTGATAGCAAAAGAACACAATACAAGGATGTAACTGGTGGGAAAAGATAGCTATTTCCAAACAAGGCAAACGTTTTATCCTAGCTGACATCTAACTGAAAGCATTTATTATTACTATTGTTTATTCCACCACTGTGACAATGTAAAGTGCTTTCTTGTGAGAAAATCTGGCTCTGCTTTGATTTATAAATGCCTCCTTGAAGTGTTTTCTGAAACTGTTACCTAAAGTGGTAAATAAAAGGGAAAGGATCTAGTCAGTCTCTCTCTTTCTCTCTGTCCCTGTCTGTCTTTCTCTCTCTGTCTGTCTCTCTCTCCCTCGCACCCTCTCTCCAAGGAGAAGAGTGTGTATATGAATTTATACATCTACAAGTACATGGATGATGTCTATTTGAGATATGGAAATACACATAGTAGTCATTGCTGCATCATAGAGTGAAGAAGGAAGGTGGGCTTGCGAGTCAGATCTGATTTTCCATCCCAAAGCCCTGCTACTTACCACCTAGCTGTGTGACGTTGGGCAAGTTATTTACCTGAGCTTTAATTTCCTCAATAGTAAGATGGAGCTAATCAAAATTAGCACTTATTAATATATAAGTTTAATTATCACATACACCCAGAGATATAGCAACTTAAATCGATTCCATCTGTTCCTAGTCGCCTTTGGGAGTAGCCTTTGCAGAGTAGCATAGTAGCCCTAAATAGATAAGTAAAATGAGTATTGAAAAGTGATATATTCGCTGAGCTCGGTGGCTCAGCCTGTAATCCCGCGCCTTTGGGAGGCTGAGGTGAGCGGATTGCCTGAGCCCGCGAGTTCGAGACCCGCCTGGGCAGCGAGACCTCATCTCTACAATAAATCAAAAAATCAGCCGGGCGTGGTAGCGCGTGCCTGTAATTCCGGCTACTCGGAAGCTGAGGAGGAAGGATCGCCGGAGACCAGCGGGTCGAGGCTGCGGTGGCCGGGAGCGGCCACTGCACTCCAGTCTGGGAGACAGAGTAAGACTCCGACTCAAAAAAAAAAAAAGAAAAAAGAAAAGAAAAGTGATATATTCTAAGCATCTGAGCCTTGAACTATTTCAAAGCAATAATTATGCAGCATCTGTGGCCACATTTTTGTTTGCTATCACTCAGTCAGGGGCATTTTAATCATAGCCTTTGCGACGAGGTTGCTGTGTCCTTTTGTGTATGTTTCATTCGTCTGCTCACTCACTGTCAGTATTTATTGTATTAATTAACTAGTCATATCTTTGTTATTTTTACATGGATTACATTCTTAAATGAAGAGTAAGCCTCGTTGTAAAATTCTTAGGAAATATACTTATGCATATTGGTTGTAGACACAGATTCATCAATCATCTTCATCATTAGCACCATCAAATGATGTAGAAAAAAAGCATTCAGATTCACATGACTCAAGTTACTGAGGAGATGAGGTATTCCAGTGTAGCCGCCCTGATAATTAGATCACAGCAGTAGTTCTCAAATCACACTTCTGAAAAACATTTTAAATTGTGAAATATATGCAGTGGAAAAGTGCATAAAATAGAAATGTGTTCTCTCATATTATAAAGGGGATAGTTATGTTACCCTTCTCAATTCAAAAAATATAACATTGCCAGGACACCAGAAGTTGTCGACATGCCTCTTCTCAATCAAGACTACCTCCCCACCCCTAAAACCACTATCTTGACTTCTATCTTATTCCTAAGTTTTATCACCCATGTATGCATCTGTAAATGGTGTAATCCAGTTATACCTATTTTTAAAAACTTTATATAAATTAAATTATTCAGAATGTATTATTTCAGTCTGCTTTCTTTTACTCAGTATTAGGGTTTATCCATGTTACTGCCTCTAGGTGAAGTGTACTTACTTTCATTATCAAGTCATATCCCATTGTATGACTCCACCATGATTTATTTATCAATTCCATTACAGGTGGATGTTTGAGCTGTGTCTAATTAGAGCAAATTATGGACAACACTGCTATGAACAGTGTTTATATATGCTAGTGGTATAAGTGCCCATTTTCTATTGGATTATCTCTCTTTTTCTCACTGACTTGTAGGAGCTCTAAGTATGTTCTAGATACAAGTCCTTCCTTAGTCACATGTGTTGCAAATAATTTCTCTTACTCTGTGGCTTGTCTTTGTGCTCTCTTATTGACATCTTTTGATGAACTTCAAAGTGCTTTGTTTTAATACAGTCAAAATTATCAATGTTTTCATTTAGAGTTAGTGTTGTGTCTTTTTTAAGACGTTCGTTTATCATAAAGATAATTCCCTATTTTATTTCTGAAAGCTTTATTTTGCTTTTCACATTTACAGCTCACATGGAATTTATTTTTGTATATGGTGTGAGAGATTATCCAATTTCATTCCCCCCATAGATAGCCAACTAGCCTAATAACATTTATTGAGAATGCTATTTGACTATTGAAAATCTTTCCCTACTCTGCTTTGAAGTCCTACATTTATCATAAGTCAAGAATCTGTGGATAGATCTATATCTGGACTTTCCATTCTATTCCATGGGTTTATTTGTCCTTGTGCTTGTCATAAGCTGCTTTCATGACCACAGCTTTGTAAGTTCTGCTGTCTGGTGGAGCAAGTCCTCCCACATCATTGCTCTTCAGATGTATCTTGGCTTTTGGTCCTTTCCCTTTCCTTTTAAAGTTCAGAAGTCAACTTGTCAAGTTCCACAAAAACAAACAAATGAAATAACCCATTGGGATTTTTTATTGGGACTTATTCAGGTCTAATTTCTTTCAGTGAGGTATTTATAGCTTTTTTCAAAAGGGCTCATATAACTTTTGTTAGATTTATTGCTGAGTAATTGATTTTTTAAAAAAGTTGTAAATGTCATCTTTTAAAATATAGCTTTAATGTTTGTTTCTTGTATATATAGCTACGATTATGTGTATGCTTGTTTATTTAGCAACCTTGCTAATACTATTAATTCTTATTCATTCTAATAATCATTCTGTAGATTCTTTCAGATGTTCTAAGTTCACCATCATACCATTTGTGAATAATGATAAATTTGTTTTTTTCTTTCTAATCATTATTATTGTTATTATTAGCCTTAGTATATTGATTAGGACCTAAATCATAAAGAATTTTATTAAAATTAATTTACTTTTTGACCACTTTGATAACTAAAATGTATTAATTCTGTTAAACAAATTAGCTACCTTTTAAACAGAATCATAAAATTCAGTGAGTACACAAAAGTGGATATATGAAAAGTTTCTCTCCTACTCCAGATCTTCATTGGCTCGTTTAAAATATCAAATCTCTGTCCCTCCTCTTGACCTGTTGAACCTGGAACTTCAGCCGGTGGAGCTTCACCATGTGTATGTTTTTAAAGCTCTTCAGATGACTCTGATAATTATGTTTGAAGACCAATGCAGAAGGTTTGCCTATGCAGAGATGAGTAGGATTGTGTAATACAGTGATTCTCGACCTTGGTTGCACATTAAGACCACCCAGGGGACTTAAAAAAATCCTGGTGCCTGGTCTGTACCCTGGGTCTATTGATCTGAATTTCTGTAGGAGTGTTGCTGGCATCTGGAAATATTAAAAGCTCCCCAGGTGATGGGGAGGGGCAGAGCATAGGGTCTACAAAGGGACATAAGGAAATGTTTGGGAGTGATGGGTAAGTTCCCTATTTTGACTGTGATGGTGGTTTCAGAGGTGTGTACATATGTCAGAGATTATCAGATTGTTCACTTTAAGTCTGTTCAGTTTATGGTTCGTCAATTATATGCGTCAATAAAGCTGTTTAAAGATAAAGCTTCGCAGGTGATTCTGATGCACAGCAATGGTTGAGAATCATTGCTCTAATAGAAAAGCCACATGAGTGGAAGTGGAAGTAGTATAGACAACAGTTGACTATGTACACTTAGACAAGTGACTTCACCCCCTCTTGACCTCAGTTTCACTCTAGTTAGTGGGTTTAGTTTCTTCTCAAGTACTTTTCAGCTCTGCTCAGCCTGGCAGTGCAGGCCGAGCTGTGGTGCCCCTCCTGGCCACACGAGGGAGCAGTGCAGCTTGCTGCCTCGTCCTCTCAATTAAACATACTTGTAAGGTCAAAATAGGCTGGTAAGGCATCTTTTTCCTTCTTTCTGTGCTCGTCTGTCCTTTTGACAAGTACAAGCCCCACTTCTCAACCGTAATCTTCAGCTGCGTTCACCCACTGATCCTGCTGCAGGTGACCCTTTCTTTAAGCAAAGTAAATCCATGAATCTCTGAAGGTATAGAACTGCTTTGTAAAAGGATCCCTAAGTTGCTTTGAAAATATCCTACTCTTTCTCAAAGCAATTAAAATAGGATCTAATTGAAGTTTGTGTATGCACACGTGTATATGTGCATGCATATGTACATATATATCAATATATGTCCCTATCCAAGCTATATCAACAAGCACATTAGCAACATTATTCCACTGCCCCTAGAAAGATTATCCATCCATATAAAAAGCAATTATATGTTTGTTAAAGGTGCAGTTTTGAGATTCTTAAGGCAGTAAACATTGTTTAACTGAAAAGAGGAATCAAGATTTGCAAACCAAATTTTTCCCATGATAATATGATGTAAAGTTCCTAAATGAGCAAATGTGTGTGTGTGTGTGTGTGTGTGTGTGTGTGTGTGTGTGTGTGTGTGTGTGTGTAGCTATCTATCAGTGTGTTTACGTAACTCAGGTGAACAGGTTGGCTAAATATTTTTAGAATGGAATTTATTTAGACACTCTGGACAGTAATCTATTTTTCTTGGACCAGACAGGGCAAAAAATTTGGATGCTCCAGAAGAGATTGCCTAGAACTAATGTTACAAAATGTTCTAGCTATGCTCTGAACGTTAATAAATTCATTACTTTAAATCCAGATAAAAAATGAAAAGCAAATGCTTTTCTGAAGTCAAACAACAATTGCAATAAAAAACTCTTCACTTCCTACCCTCACTAGAATTTTCCAAATAGTGCTATAAAACCTTAACCTTGAGTAGCTCTGTCTTTTATTTTTGGTCTTATTGCAGTTTTCTTCCATTCTGATTTCTGAATTTCAGATTATTTTATGAACCAGTTACAACACCTTGTGGGCATACCTTTTGTTTAAAATGTCTTGAAAGATGTCTAGATCACAACGCAAAGTGTCCATTATGCAAAGATGGTCTTTCACAGGTAAACCAATATTTCTTTCTTGGTTGGGTTAGCTTATTTGGAATTGGGTACCAAGACAGTATTCAACTGGATCCCAAGCCACTGTGCTGTGTTAGAGTGATTTACCCCCTCAGACTATCTATTTCTCCCTGCCCCCCCCATCCTTCAGGTAAATGAGGAAACATCTAGCATTTTATGAACTGTCAATAAGGAAATTAATTTGTGTTGGAAGCAAAAGTATTCAATAGATACAAACATGGATCCTAATTCTAATTCCATCACGGCACCTGATACACTACAACCTTGGGTGAATCATGTGTCTTCTCTAGACTAGATAGCTCTGATATCCCTTTATCATCAATGCCCATTCTGTGATTTGAATAGATCAGCTCTCAGGGCCCCAGAAGAACCTCACAGACCTTCAGTGTTTTCCTTGTCCAACTCCTCAGGAACCACTGTATTTATTAGCAGATATTTGGCCACTAGAAGATCTCTGGGGCTTCCAGGTTCTTTAACACTAATCACATAAACTCCCACCTTTATTTTTCAAGTGAGCCCAGTGGAATTTCTTATAGCAAAAGAAGACCCAGGAATCTATCTTGTTTTCCCTCCCTCAGGGATTTGTGTGCCGCATTTTATAATCTGTCTTAATGTTCTTTGACCCCTGTCATCCTGAGGAGAGATTGGAGACGCAGGACTATCTCTAAGTGCATGTTGATCCAGAGAAGTAACATGTAGAGTTTTCTCATCACCCCAATGTTGAAGTTAAGGGAATGGAGTGAAATAATCATCAAGGGTAGCTCTGAGGGTGTGTATTGGGTTGGGGGTAGGGCCAATGTCTTACCATTTCCTAAAGGGTGGGATTTGCTGCCCTGATTATAAGTGAGAAGCCCATAGTCCTTATGCCTAAATAATACATCTGTGTAGTGGTAACATTACAAAATTCAAATACGCGGAAAGAAGAAAAAGCTACCCATGTGCTGAGCACCTAGAGAAAATCACTGTAAACATTTCAGTATGTGCCCTTCCTGGGTTTTTGTTTTGGTGTCAGCAGAAGGGTCAACTCCTTCTTGGACTGGCTACCTCCTGAGTCACTGCATGTTCCTAAAGACTGGGACTGGGCAATGCAGCTAATTCTCCTGTTGCCAGGCAATGACAATGGCTTATGAGGTGTTCTGGAGGCAAATGCTGTGGGGTGTTGGACTCATAGGCTAGAAGATATTTTCATCTATCTCTGTGTATTCACACAGAGTCACACTTACACTATTTTCCAGTTATGTTCATTGTAGAATAGAGATACAGTCCATACCGGGAAAGAAACAAGTGTCTGAAGCTAGCAATTTTATCCTCCGAGCTCCCCCTGCCGGTCTGAAGGGTTAGTTTCCATAGCAAGCAATTCTCCGCAAATGTTTTAATGTTCATTGTTTGGTTCACACCTTTAAATATTCACTACTTAAAGATCCTGGGATACGCATAGAGTAGGGGTGTTTAGGAGCAGAATAACAGTGACAACTGAGCCTGAGTGAGGTTCTGAAATCATGGCTTAATATAATCTAAGTGATACCTAGATGGTATATTAAGAAGGCAAATAAATTCACCAACATTTAACTTTTTGTGTTTTTTAAAACTTAAGTTAGAAGTGCAAACAATGTGTAGACTTGGCAACATCTAGAAACTGAGCCTTGGGGTGGCATAGGAGAGGAAAAAATTAAGGATTAAAAATTCCATTTTAGTTCCCTGGACATTTTGAGCACTGACTTTCAGCATATTGTAAATGAAGACCATTTCTGTGAGCTTGCAAACATGATAATCAGAATATGAAAAGGAAAGGATTCCTCCCCCCTTTTTTGGACAAGAACATGATCTCAATTTCAGTGTTTTAGTAAAGCGATGAGATTTTTAGACTCCCAATGCATGTTTTTGCCCCCTTGTTAAAATATTTTTTCTAATTTTAATGGTAATCAATTGCATGCTTTTTTTTAACCGAACTCTGACATCCAGAAAACACACATAATAGTATCAGCTTCTAATTTGTGAGTTCAAATTACTCCAATATGTGGGTTTGACTATTCTACAGATTTCATCACAAATATTTTTTGTGTTTTTCTGATGACTGCTTATTATCCAATTGCCTTGCTCCCCATACAGTGCTTGGCATCAAGAAAATACAGCAAAAATGTAATAATGGAGGAGCTGATAGCTAAATTCCTTCCAGAAGAACTCAAAGAACGAAGGCGGGTTTATGAAGAGGAAATGGAAGAACTTTCTAAGTATGTATATGTGTGTTTCTATTTTTAGTTTCGCTAAAACCAGATCATAAGAGCTGACTGCACATTTCTTCCCAGATCCGCATTCAGTGATGTCACCCTAGTAGTTTGAAATTGGCCAAGGTAAGAGTATTACACCATGAAAACTGGCAAATGCTACAAACCAGCTCTTCCCTGCCACACCCCACCCAGAGAGCCAGTTGTTAAACCTTTGCCAGCACACCAGGAAGAAGCATAATCCAAACCACTGACCAGGATACATCTTGGCACTGGTAACAGGATGTCGCTGACAGGAATGAATTAGAGTAACTTAATCAGGGGAACTTATGAAGTGCCTGGAAGTCTATCTTCACATACATAAGAAAGTGCTACGAGGTTAAGAACTTTGGTGTCAGTCAGAGACCCAGAACTTCAAGTTCTGCCTTGAAGTGAATATATTTTATGACCCTGGGCGGGTCACTTAACCTTTTCTGGGCCTCAGTTTCCTTATTTGCAACTTGAGCATAATAATAGTTCTTACCTCATGAGCTTGATATGAATTTCAAATGAGCTCATGTAAATGGTAATCTTACTAATACTCATTAAATGCTACCTTGGCCATGCACAGGTAGGGTGAGAGGTGAAGGGGAAGCCAGAGACATAAGGGAGGTGCTCAGTTCTCAGCCTGACTGGAACAATTCACTTAGCAGAAAAAGCAGGAGGTGATCACTAATTGCTGCCTCTCTTACTGCTGCCCTCCGTTCTCCCCATCTTCAGGGAAATCCTCACAGCATTTCAGAGGCAAGCTTCCTGACAAAGACAGTTCTGATTTTGTGACCACTCTATAGAGGACATTTCTGAACTCTCCCACCAGTTTGTTTGAATGTGCCTCTCACTTTGATTAATGTTTTCCTCAGAAACTAGAAGTCTTTTTTTTTTTTCTTATTGATTTCTGTTGGAACTACTCAGGGCATCTGATCCATAAGTTAGTAACGAGTCTCCCTGAGCCCTCTTCTCAGATCTCACTTAAGGTCTTATTTTATTTTATTTTTATGTTTTGAGTTGGAGTCTCACTGTGTCGCCCAGGCTGGAGTACAGTGGCACACTCGCGGCCACCGCAGCCTTGACCTGCTGGGCTCAGGTGATTCTTCCGCCTTAGCCTTCCAAGTAGCTGGAACTACAGGCGTGCACTACCACACCTGGCTAATTTTTTGATTTATTGTAGAGATGAGGTCTCACCAAGTTGTCCAAGCTCTTCTCAAACCCGTGGGCTCAGGCAATCCTCTCACCTCAGCCTCCCAAAGTGCTGGGATTACAGACTTGGCAGCCATTAAGAACTTATTAACAAACGAACAGGGGTCTTTCTTTTTAAAGGAATCTTGAACTTAACCCTTTTGAGATTTGGGCAGATGATCTATCTCTTGGTAGCCTTAGGTTCTGATATTGCTGCATTGGATTTACTAGAGAGATAAGAGGACAGGGATCTTGGAGGAGCTGGTTCAGTTGGTGGGTTCCCAACAGGCCATGTGTCTGATACAGGGTACTAGTTGAAAGAGAGACTCCCAGGTCCCAATTCCAGAGAGACTACATCAGTATCTCTGGGGATGTGGTGTCCTAGCCCTGAATTTAAGGAATTTGTTAATTTTTTTTGGAGTTGGAGTCTCACTCTGTCACTCAGGCTGGAGTGCAATGACACAATCACGGCTCAACACGGCCTTGACCTCCTGAGCTCAGGTGATCCTTCTGCTCCAGCCTCCCAGTTAGCTGGGCTTCAGGTGCATGCCACCACACCCAGCTAATTTTTTGGTTTTCTGAAGAGGTGAAGTCTCACTATGTTGCCCAGGCTGGTCTCGAACTCCTGGGCTCAAACAGGCCTCCTGCCTCAGTCTCCCAATGTGCTAGGATTACGGGCATGAGCCACTGAGCCTGCTTCCTGGTGATTCTGATGCACAGGAGCCTTTCTGAATCACTCTTGCCTATCTCTTGTCCCCTCTTCCCTCCAGCTGGCCTGTCTCTTGCTCCCTCTTCCCTCCAGCTGGGTCCACTATACAGATTCTCTGGAGAGTTTTGCAAATTTGTGATGTCTGTGGGGACTTTGCAGAGAACTTCTTACCATATCACTGGAGAGTTGAGTCCACTTATACCATGAATTCCTGTCCCCATACTGCCTGCAAAACACCTGAAGAGATTGTTTTGAGTGGAGACCATGAAAGAAAGAAAGAAAAAAAAAAACAACTATGAGATATTGCTATCACCCACAATGTTTATGGGCAAGATAACTTCTTCAGCCAAATTAGAATGTGTGGAATGCCAATTTTAATTTCTTGGAGCTTAGGCTGACCTCTGCACCAGATAATGGGACTCAGCCCACAATATCAGTTGCATTTCAGTATTCTTCTATCAGCCACCAAAACTTGAAGTCTCTGCCTTTCCCCAGGGGTACCACATGGTTACATTTGACCAGACTTTCTGTGTTCTGCCCAATTGCTCTGAGATTCATTTTGTTTTCTCTTCCTGACAGCTTAAATAAGAACGTGCCTATTTTCGTGTGTACTATGGCCTATCCCACTGTTCCTTGTCCCCTGCACATCTTTGAGCCTTGTTACCGCCTGATGATTCGTAGATGCATTGAGACAGGCACAAGACAGTTTGGCATGTGCCTTGGAGATCCTGTCAAGGGGTAAGTAAGGAACCATGTGAGTAAAGGGAGGTTGGGTGGAAAGAGGGTTTTATTTTATTTGGGGATGCTCCCAGGAGATGAGGAGGTGTAGCTCATGTGGTATAGCCAGCTCAAGAATATGAGCATTTATAAGGATCGGGGTTCTTCTGGGGCCTAGTTTACCATGTGAGAGACAGTATATTTTTAAAAACCCAGAATTAATCTATTGTTAAACAAGTGGTATATATTATAAGACTTATTTTATAAGAGTATGGGCTCTGGAGTCAAACTGCCTGGGTTCATGTTCTTGCTCCAGCCTTGGAGCGAGTTTGATTTTGAGTGAGTTATATAACTTTTCTGTATCCCAGTTTTCTTATTTGTAAAGTGAGTACAATGATAGTGCCTATCTCACTGGGTTTATTGCAAGGACTGGTGAGTTAATGATATATATAAAACACTGAGTACAGTTCCTGGCTACCTTAATACGTTTTGAGCTGCTGTAACAGAATACCACAGGCTAATAATTTGTAAGCAATAGAAATTTATTTCTCAAGGTTCCAGATCCTGAGAATTCAAGATCAAGGCACTGGCGACTGGCAAGGGCCTTCTTCGTGTATCACATGGTGGAACAACAAAGAGAGGGTGATAGAGAGAGAAAAAAGGGGGCAAACTTTTATAACAAACCCACTCTACTAGTGAGAACAGCATGAATCCGTTCATAAGACTGGAGGCCTGATCACCTCTTAAAATTTCAACATGAGTTTTGGTGGGGGCAAACATTCAAACCATAGTCCTGGCACATAGTATGTGCTGAAATAATCGTAGCAGTTATACTAGTACATTACTTTTTTTCACATGGGTACTGCCTGTTATATAGTTGCAACTGTAAACTTGGGGACAGGCAAATAGGGAGAAGTCCCTTGAGGCACAGTATGGGGTTACAGAATGGCTGGGAAACAGGTCAGGGAAACAGAACTCATCACGGCTCTACTCTCTTGATTCCATTCTTAATAAACAGATTTGCAGAATATGGTTGCATCTTAGAGATCAGAAATGTTCAATTCTTTGCTGATGGTCGCTCAGTGGTTGACAGCATAGGCAAGAGACGCTTCAAGGTGCTCCATCAGGGCCAGCGGGATGGCTACAACACAGCTGACATTGAATACATCGAAGACCAAAAGGTGAGAGTTGTCAGTGCCAAGAATTTCAAAGCTAGGCTATCCCTGTGATTTGGCATACTGGAGATGGTTACAAAAGAATTTCTCAGAACTCTCAAGGGTCTTGAAATTTCTCACCAAATTGCTGCAGCAACATTGAATGCATTGGATTACTGTCCAGCTGCAGAATGGTCACAAGAGTGCCCATTGTCTTGGCTCTGCTTAACTGATAAGTTGCTTTCATGCATAAGAAATGCTTCCTCAGACCAACCCTGGGGCTCATTCAGCCTGGGAATTAGGCCTCTGCCAAGGATACCAAGGAATAGATCTGGAGTGGGGTCTGCATGAGTATTTTATCTACCGATTTGTTTATATTTTTAAACTCTTTTCTTTTGAGATAATTATAGAGTCACACAGGCATTTGTATTTTTAAATATGTAACTTGGCTAAGAGAGTGTCCCAATAATCCATTGTCCCATAAGGCAGAAAGATGGCACATCTAGTTAATTCCTGGTTTTCTAAGTTAATGGGTTGAAGAAGAGGTAAATAATCCCCTGTTCATTTATATTTATATTTACTACATAGTACATTAACAAATATTTGATCAATGAATAAATGTATTTGACCAAGAGACACTGAGACAAAGACACATTCCAGTCTCTTCTCCCAGCAAACAATGGGAAAATCAATGTAAAAATGAAAAGGGCAGAGGCATAGACTGACATAACCTGGTTTAACCACATGCCTCCACCCAGGCCCATTCAGATCTCTGGTTTTCTGCGTGTCTCGCTGTTTCAGCTAATCTGTCCAAGCTGAACCTTTCTCCTTCTTCCACACTCAGCAATATCTACACACTGTTCAGCACCTGTCTAAGGAGCATTTCACATCTCACCCAGGAGAAAGCTGGATGTGTGAACTTCCCATATGAAGGCAGGATGGATGCTCAAAAAGTGTCAGGTGTCAAAAGTGACTCTGGAAGTGATGGAGAGGGTACAAAATGTTTCACTTCCACTTTGATACTTTCAGGTTCAGGGAGAGGATTGTGCTGAGCTCATGGGATTACATAACTGTGTCTATGAGCAAGCGTCATCGTGGTTTCATTCACTCAAATCATCCCTGAAGAATCGGATACTCAATCACTTTGGTCCAATGCCAGAGAAGGATGCTGATCCCCAGGTATATAAAAATGTCTGTTTTAAATGGGTTGCCCCAACAGATGAGAGTGCCTAAGGTTTTTGCTTAGGTGGGTGTGTGGCTGCACACCCACATCAAATGCTGAGAGAAGATGGATTTAATTTGCAATTGTTTGACTGGGCAGTGAACATCATGAGTGAGACCAAAAGGATCCCAAGTCAGAATTGGGATAACTAAAGTAAAGTAATAGGAACTTGGATTCAAGACAAGTTTCAAGAAGTGAGACGAGAGGATGGGAACCACCACCAACAGAAGAACTTCCCATGGGGAGTCCAGATTCATACCCTGGTAACGTTAGGGTGACAAGATACATGCAAAAGCCAGGACTTCAGAGAAGGGCATCTGGGGAACTGAGAACAAAGATTGATGTTTTCAGGGAACTTCATAACCCTCTTTCTCATTGCTATAACTAAGGGATAGAACCAGCTGCCCTGTAAGATTCCAACTGGCTATGCCCAGGTCCATTCATACAACTCTAGATCTTTGATATTGTCCTCGCCAGGGGTCAATAGTTCCTGAAAAAACTGACCCCATCTTTAAATCCATCCTTAGCTGGGCTACACTAGAAAGCAGGTCATTAGATTCTACTGAATTAGTCTTCTTTCTGGGATGGGGAGGAGGGACAGATCCTTTTACAAGATCAAACTGCAGATCAGAAGCTCTCCAAGAAAGTGGAGATGGTTAACTTTCACCTAGCTTTGCTTGCCTGGTGTAAATTAGGGGATACTTTCAGGGAATTCCATCTCTGGGAATACTTTCTTTCTAGGACAAGGCTGGAGATATCCTTCCCACAGACTTTCTTACCACCACCTTTTCTCATACTCTGGGCTGACTCTCCTACGTCAGCACTCCAGTAACTTTCTTTGTTCTTTACTTACACTCATTCCCAACTCTGTCCCAAAAGGAAAATCTGTGTAAATTCATATTCTGACTTCTCTGCCAAACAAACAAACAAAAAATGATCCTGCTTACCTCTCTAGCAGTGTGACTTTGGGTAAATCCCTTCCCCTTTCTCAACTTTTCTCCCAACTCTGATGTAAGGGAGGTGGGTGAGGATGTCTCTAAATCCCCCTCTTCCTCTTGCATTCAGAGGCTCTATAACATCATCTGTTTGCTAAAGGACTGAAATGTCTTGTTTTCTCCAGATCATAAAGGTAACTCCTCTCCCCCTATGCAAAGGCATCACAAATTTTGAGGGGAGAAAGGCCAGTTAGTGCTTCGTGGTGACCCAGCTTCTAGCTCTGAGTCACTGTGAGTCAGGACTACAGCATAGCTCCGAGCAAGCTCATGATCAAGCTTAATATTCCCCTTCACCTTCTGAGGAGCATTCTTCCCCAGTCAGGCAAAAGATAAGAGATCTGCAATAATAACAGCGTCTTCCACAGGAGAAAACACAGTTGCCACAGTGTGAATCATAAGGGCTTAATGACATAAAAAGCTGAAATCTTAGATTTCATTTCCTTTCTAGGTCTGTTATCATGTTCCTTTGGCGGCAGCAGCACCAGGAAAAAGCAAAAACAAAACCCCAAATCCCTCCAGCTTGCTCCAGTTAATGCTGCAGCCCCAGCGGTCCCATGAATAAGAATGTTCTAGACCTCAGGAGCAGGTTTCTTAGAAATCACCACAAATATTAATATCAGCTTAAATATCTTTGTTGATGGTCCTAGGAAAGAAAGTTCAGAATGTCAGTCTAATATTCAGAACTGATCATAGGAGGGAGTGTGTGTTGCCCACTGCAATGAGGGACAAAAAGGAATCCAAATGGAGCTAGAGACACAGAGGAGGAACTAGAACAGTGGGATTTGAGGAGATTCTGATGAACCAAATTGAAGCCAAATAATTTCATGTGTAGGTGATTTGACCAGAATGTGGTTCTCTACATCAGCCTTCTGGAAGTTGTGGATAAAAAAACTCATTTCAGGCTTAGGAAGTAAGTCACTGATGTATAAATTTTGTGCTGGGAAAGCTACTTTCAAACAGAATTTGGAGGAAGGATATGAGTGATAAGGAGGATCTTTGTTTAAAGGAAATCTATTGGGGGAAGATTCTAGGGGGGAATCTAGTCGGGGGAAATCTAGCATATATTTTGAATGTGAACATGTTTTTTTTTTAATTGGAATTTTTGCAAAGTGAGGTTGCTGTTCTTTGGGACTGTAAATCATAGCCTTTGGCTTCAGGGGAGAAGATCACTGTAGCACTGTTTAGTGACATGATATATCTGGATTACTGCCTTCAGCCACAACAAGGAAATGAAGACAGTTAAGAGACATGCAAAGCCTAAGGTGTCATGGGAATTAAAGACCTGCATGTTAAATGCATTGGTCCAAAGGACATCAACAAAATCATAGAAGTGGAAGAGACTGCATGGTGGATATTCCAGCTTGTAAGATCACACTACTGAGAGTCATGGTGTATCTATGAGGGTATTAGTTTGTTTGCTTTAACAAGTGCCAGCATTGACTTTAGCTTAAACAAGATAGAGGGCCTAAGTCCTGGAGAGCTAGGGCAGCCCTACTCCATGAGAGCATTCAGGGACCCAGGTTCCTTTGTCACAAAGCTCTACCATCTTTAGAATGTTGCCCTTATCTTCTTGATCGAAGAAGGCTGATCCTTACCATGTCGTGCGATAGCTAGGGGAAAGGTTGAGAAGAAGGAAGGAGGGGGCACATGCTGCTTTTCCAGAGCATGACCCAGAGGTTATACTTATCAGTCTCCTTTACATCTAATTAGCCAGAACTTTGTCTTATGGCCTCACCTAGTTGCAAGTGAGGCTGAGAAATGTAGTCTTTTTTTTTCTGGGTGGCTGTATGCCCAACTAAAATAAGGGGGAAACAGATATGGGGGCAATTAGCAGTCTCTGCCTCACAGAAGTAGTTTCACCTAGGATAGTTACCCTGAGTGTTTGGAAACCTGCATACCAATGTTGCTTGCAAGGGAATAGTATGACCTTATTGTGTTTCTCTGTTGCAGATTAACCCGAATGGTCCAGCCTGGTGCTGGTGGACATTAGCAGTTCTTCCCTTGGAAAGCCGAGCTCAACTCCCGTTCCTAGCAATGAGGTCCTTAAAGGATAGACTGAATGGCATTCGGCGAGTCCTGGCCTTTATATCCCGAAACCAAAACTAGTGAGTGGATTGCTGAAGAGAAGCTACCAGACCTCCCCCACTGTCCTGGAGGGAGGAGTCTTCTTGTAAATATATCTAATTGCAATAACATCTTAACTGAAGGGGGTATTAAACAGGGGCATTAGCCTGCTGTTGATCACAGAGAGGAGGCAAGTAGAAAGACCAAAAGAATGTGACCTGTTCGAAACTTTCTGTCTTAAGATGCTTCTTGACATGCTGCACAACTACATAAACAGCAGAGGCATTTAAGCGCCCAGGGGAAAAAAAATCGATTTTAACATAAAATTTTCTGAAAGTTTAAAGTGGTTTTGCTTTAATTTTCTTTCTTTCATAGATCAATGACTGTGTGGTTGAAATGTGAAACAAAGATACTAATAATGTTGCTGCATTATTTCACTGACTTGAGGTCTCATTCCAAATGGTTCAGGTTTTATAGAACATTGTGTAAAATAATGTTCATACTTCTTTCTGTTTTAATAATTTATTTTTTGCACTACTGTATCTTTTTTTCTACATGTATGTTTGTAACTATTTAAGTGTACATTGCTGGAAAGCCCGTTGCTTTATTTATTGATGTGGTTTACCGTGTACCTAGGGGGAAATAACAACACTAACAATGTGCAATTTTTGCTTTAATCATTTTTTTACTACACTGATCCCAGTCTTGGACCATTTCCACATCTATCCAAGTGAATGTTTAAAAGAAGTTCAGAATGATCATCTGTCTTCACAGATTCTACTTTTTTTCAGTTTGAATTAAACAACAGAAAATACTTAAGTGATTTGGCCAAGATTATGGTACATACCAGGGTAAAGTAAAATAATCTATTTTTTGTGTGTAACACAGAACAAGGATGAAAGAATTATTTTTCTGGAATGAAGAGATAAATCAGGGAGTGTCTTTTATTACCATCTGTTATAGGTATTTACTTCAGCAATCTTATAATTGTACCCAATTTCTCCCCGTTGCAATTAGGAGTGAGATTTTAGGCAGAATCATAATGAACCTTTCAGAGGAAATGGCTTTTAGTTCGGCACATCAAAGCCTCAATACCCCACCTCTTCTCAGAGTTCTGAGGCTCAAGACCCAGGCTAGCAGGTGAAGGACTGTTGGTTATTAAAAGTGTAAAACCCGTTACAAAAAAATTTTTTAAGGAGCCAATTAATCCATGGTTTTAGCTAAGTACTGCCTTTCCTCCTAGTTGGAATGGGCCAGAAATTTTGATGTGGGGAGGAAGGAATAGAGGGTAAGAAGATAAGAGCAGGCCCCTGTTGAGGTTACTTAGTGCCAGTTTGAGTCCTTCCATGGCAAGAGAACCTGAAAAGTACTATGAGTATGGGAGTGTTGTAATGGCAGAGTGAAAAGAGTCTAGCAGGGAAGAAGTGAATTGTGCTATTCATACCTTCATGTAAACTCTCCCCCCATGTGATTTTGACAGCTGTGCTGTGTCATTCACTCGTAGCCCATTCCTCTGTTAAGGTGAGAGGGTAATGCTTCAAGTATCAGTCTTACTTCTTCCATCACCACTTGTGGCTAGAAACAGGCAAGGGAGAATGAGATGATCTAGACAATAAAAAAGAGATTCATGTAAGCAGAAATCAAATTGTCGCTTAATGGAAGCCGTGTTGCCAGAGTATTGCGTTACCAGGTTTGATGTTTGGAGCCAGATTGGGCAGGTGACAAATGGAAGTAGACAGAAGTATAGGAATGGTTTCTGCCCAAGCAAACTCTACAAGACTCAGGAAGCAGGAAATTAAAGAACTCCCCTCACTCACCTGATATCCAGATCATGTGGTCATAACACAGTCCTACTAGAAAAGTTTCCTATTATCTAGTGTAAGTAAATACAACGAAGATAAAGACAGTAAGCTTCTCTGCTTACTTGAAGTATTACTTTTGGCAAGTGATTTAACTTTTACTGAGCCCCAACTTCCTCCTCTATGAAATGGTAGTGATAAATCCTGCATATAGGATTTTTATGAACATTAAGTGATATATCATGTGTATATCACTTAGCACAATTCTGCCACCTAGGAGACATTCAACAAATAATAGCTATTGTTGTATTAGTCATAGTAATAATCATCAGAGGCCTACATTTGCAAAACATACTGCCTTTACACACAATACCCACTTGAAACTCCTTTAAACTTAGTTGAGGGAATCCATACCACTGATTTTTGGACTGTAATGATTAGTTACAGGTAATTCCTGTTGGGGTTAAGTCTGGGAAAGTGAAATGACTGTAGAACAAATGAGGGCCAGAGGTAGGGACCAAACCTGTGCCAGAACAAGTTTTCCCATTACAATAAGGGCTAAAAGATAATGCTATTTGAAGGTCTAGAATTTTTAGAATGGAAGCCTCAAGTTCTAGCTCCCCTAGAATACCAACTCATCATTCCCTAAACTATATTGATGATTAGATTTTACAATTTGTAACTTTGGTGCTTAGTTCATGATATTTCTGTTGCCGAAAGTAACAGATTGTTTAAAAAATATACTAAGAACCTACCATGTGCCAGGCATTAAGCCAGGTGATCTTCTTCCATACCCGAGCTTATTAAATAATTACAGTTCCCCATATTAATAGGATGAGAAAACTGAGGCTCCATGATGTTAGATCCTTTGCCCAGTTAACATAGCCAGCAAGTGGCCAAGCTTGATCTTGAAGCATTACTTTGCAGATTTTTAGCATATAAAAGCAATACTAATCATTTGTAGTGCAAATAATTTTATTAAAGAAGCATAGAAGTCAGATCACAAAAGCACCCAAGAAAGCTCACAATGGGAAGCTGTGGGTTAAGTAAGTTGAGTTACCCAACACATCTCTACTTAATCTAAGTAGAAGGGAAAGTTTGATTTCTTAATAAAATCTCATAGCATAGAATGCATCACCTTGATAAGTGAATACCCAACTTCAGCAAGTATAGAACTTAGCTAGGCAGAATTGCACTTTACTCTCAGTAGCCTAGATACACATTTGGGTTATTTTATAGCAAACTTTTGTTTTGATGGTGGTGCAAGGCAGGATGTAAGGCTAAGCTTTGGCTTTTGGGAGGTGTGGACTTGAACGAGGTCATCTATTGGACTTGACCTTTTTTACCACTTGGAAATTGGTTTTGCTACACAGCTTGTGAATGACGAGGAAAAACATAAAGCTAAACCTGGGCTAGAAGGACAAGACTTCCCCCTTGGTAGATAGTGCCACTTATTTGGTTAGTTTCCTGTCTGTCATGACTGACCCAGTCTTTGCCTAGTAGGTTATTTTTTGTATGTATGTATGTCTGTCTGTCGATGTGTATGTGTGTGCATGCATATACACACACATACATAAACTAGGTAGCAAGCAGACATCATGCCTTTCTGCTTTGTACTGTACTACTGCTGCTAGCAAATAACCAGCAAAATGTAGAAAATGAAAAATGAAGAAACTCATTTTCTGTAGACAACTTGGAGAAAAGAGCACTTGCCCCTGACTTAGAGTGGCAGTGACTTGGCAATTTCATCAGTTTGCCTTTGCCGAAGGCTGACTGCTTCTAGCCCAGTGCTGCCTCCACAGCAAGGGGCAAGCCGAGTCATTGCACATGTGGCGCTTCCAGCTCTGCCTGTGGTGCTGGCTTGGGCTCAGATAATCCCCTGTGACTGACTATTGGAGTGGTGAAGCTCCTGAGGCAGGATCACAACACCCAGAGGTCTCTTACTGTCAACAGTCTGCACACTGTTGATGGGCTACAATGCATTAGGGACTGTGTTCCCCACGCCAACTCCATTTCCAAGAAGGGAGTTTTTATCAGGGACTCACACCTTGAGTTCCCACCATGTTGACTTTACATCTGTTTCTGCTCACCAAGGTAGAATCGTAGCAGAGGTGTATGACAAGGAAGCAAATGGAAGACAGCCCAAATTGTGGGAAAGGGCAGTTTTTAGCCCATTCTTGGCCTGAGAATGGATTTTGATTTATGATTGAAGATGGTTCTGAAAAGCAGCCAGGCGTCAATTTGTGCCCCTTCCTGATTGAAGAGAGATGGAAGGAAAAGGAGCCGTGTCAAATGTATGCATTCAATTCATCCTGCAATGATAGCTCCCACTTACCACACTGTTCAACTATTTAATAATCTGGATTACGCACGTCCAGAGGTGAAATGAAGAAATTTTCACTTAAAATGGGTATTTCCAAACATGCTAAGTTAACCTCCAGAGAGAAGTGCCTGTAATCTCTGTTCCTGGTATCACTTTAAAGCTTTTCCTTCATGACTCTGTAACCGTTGTTTAAAATGTTTTCTCAGCAAAGGTGATTAACAGAAGTTTACAAAGCAACACTGTAGCTTATGCATAATTTTAAAAGTCAATTAACATTTATCTATTGTTAAAGCAACAACAATAAATAACAAGGAAATAAAAGGAGAGCAAATAGATCAAAGCGGCACCATAGGCTTATCTTAGATAAACTAGTTCTGTCATTTTATGCAGTTCTAAGTAATACCAGGATTAAAATATCAAGCAAGCCACTTAAACAGTGGCAGATGTGTATGTGTGTTTGTTTCCTTTGTTAAGCAGCCATTTTATTCTTGTGCTGTAATGAACCGAAGGGAAATTAAGATAATGCTTTTTTTCCCCCCTATATTGCTATTCAACTACCTCTATATGCTTGATTTCTTTTTAGGGTTCCCTTTCCTCCAAATCTGTACAAAAAAGTTTCAGCTCATCTATGTTGTAATAACAATGTGATATAGACAGTCTCTGTGAAAGTTGTTTGTTCATTAAAAAAAACTATTTCCTATTGTCTCACTTTGTATCTAACACAATTGTAGGAAAAGAATTATCCAAATAGCTTCAGTATCACTTTTGGTTAAAGCTGAATAGAAAGGAAAGCTATGTGAATATCTATTATGTTCTTGTTCCTGTTGATTGTAATATATTTAACTAGAAGATCCTTTAGGGAAATATACCTGAACTCAGACAACAAACTCTTATGTCTATGTCAGTGACACAGGTATAAACTGATTACTGTGACTGATGTGTTCTGAAAACTGGCCATAAATTGTTTTAAAAAATGCACCAGAAAAGCTTGTTATTTAAAGAATTATGTTGAAGCATTTTGTCAAGAGTCTACTCCTAGCTTATTTGTAAATCCAAATGTTCACATATTGGGTTTGCTCAAAGCAGAACACACTACCTACTATTTTCTGTGGCATTATAAAATGCTCCTGAAAGCAAATTGCATGTTTTTATTTTCATTAGACAGTTTATTAATGATAGGCTAAAGATAAGGCCCAAAGCATGAACATTTTATGGGAAAAT